GAACAATAAATTTTGTTCTAAACGTCATCCAGTAAATAATAATACTGTTTCGCTGTGTGATATATCTATTAAACAGACTCACAAATGTGAAGCGAAAACAAAACAAAAAAATGCAAAATAACTTTAATGATAAACCGAAATGTAAGGGGGAGAGAAGAATTGCATGTGAATTTAATGTGTCTGGGAGATGACATAGAGTCAATGCATCTGAGCTATCGGCAACACTATTCCTCACTATATCATTGACAGTCTTCATTCATTGATTCATAGCGTCTCGAGGATTTCATTTAAACAGTCTACTCATTCCAAGGTTGGGAGACACTTGATGAATTCATGCTATGTTTTGATTTTATTTCACCTGCAATTCTTTCCCTACCCTATCCTATACCAGATAACACACTGCTTGATGAGGAAGGTAATCATGTGGCAAGCGTAACACGTGCCCTAGCCGTCTCAATCGATGAAGTCTCACAACTTTATTTTCTACTGACATTCCCTCCTTATTGAACACTCTACTCTAAGCCTCAGTATTACGGACCATATTATGCCAAGTAACACGAGTAATACGGATCAGAGACTTGGCGCGTCATAAAGAGCATCTCAAACAAACCACAGACCTTCATCAACGGTTGTCTTCGCTCAGTACTCAAGATCAGATGGCCAGAAAACATCAGCAACAGAGAACTCTGGCAATAAGCGAACCAACTCAGCAGGAACCGATTGTGAAACAAATAGGCAGGAAGAAATGGAGATGGATTGGCTGGTCATACTCTGAGGAAACCATCAAGTGACATCACTAGACAAGCCATTGCTCGAGTGGAACCCGGCCGAAAGGGAAGCGGCGAGTTGGTCGTTAGTGCAAGGGTGACTTGGAGGAGATCATGTGAAGAGGAGATGAAAACGTGTGGGCAGACATGGAGCCAGGTGAAGACTCTAGCAGAGAACCGAACACAATGGAGACGCTTGGCTGAAGCCCTATGTTCCTCTAGGAATTAAAGGAAATAATGATAATAACACGATAGATAAAATGCAAACATTTATGGTCAATGACGATTAGTCTCTTTATATCATTCACTTACTACTCCTATGTCTAGCAGTCGTAAAGAAAGACGGAATGAAGTGTAGTGTAGTGCCCATGATATTTTTTGGTGGATAGCCAGTTCTCTCATCTACACCAACGACAACGCATATTGACAAATGACATTCGGGAGTCTTCGTATTTGAAGTGAGATTTCCTGAGGAATCAGTTCACCAATTAGAGCTAGTTCAACTTTCTAAATAAGTAAAGTGTTTAAATACAGTCAACCATGCCAATCCCTATCCTTAATCCTTTTTTATATACGGAATAAAATAACTTTCGAATGAAGTTTGTCCTGTGTTAGGAAATACAAACTCTACGTTAGGATATTAATATATTAAATTAAACGTGTTTCACAATCCATAAATTTATTTAAGGGAGATTTCCAATATACTTCAGATAGGTAAAATTGTTTATATGAAAAATTATCATTCGAACATGAATAAAAACAAGACAAATAGCGCATTGCTGAAGCTTTAGCCATTCTGTTGGGAAAACCGGAGTTATGTATACAAAAATAAAAATTACTCAACCACTTCTACTATCATGCCAACAACTGTGTCTACTGATTTGATTTTTGCTTGTTTCTTTGTTCGCTCTAACTCTTCATAACTCTGGTATTTCTTTGGAACTCTTACATAATTCCATATTTTCCTTCCTTCCCCATTTCCTTGCACCCTGATCACAACTCATCCATTAGATTATTCATCTTATTACGTAACCCTAGTTCACTTACACAACTCCTTTTATGCATTCATCACTTTTCTTACAACCCTCTTTCATGAGAAAAATGTGTATAAATCAGATTGTACAGTTATCAAAATGATTTCACTGCAGAAAAAAGTGCCTCTTCGCTGAACTATTTATCTTGTTTCTATAATTATTTTGCAGAGAATTTAAAAATTTCAAATTAGTTTTCAACACAGATCACTCATTATGAGCTGAAAAAGAAGTATTTAAAGCCTCGAGGTAATAAACACTTGTCTCTT